CCCCCCCCCCGAGCTCGGCCCCACATTCTCCCTCTGTTTAACTGATGGTGCGTCATGTTCGATGTCACTGAGGCACTGGAAGCTCAGGAGCTCCCTCACCTTGTTGTCTCGCACAATTAGAGCGATCATCAGGTCTCCATCACTGCCGGAGCCGTTATCAAGTGTCGGTGGGTTTAAAGTCAGAGAGAAATAACAAAGGTCTTTTTAACGTATATTTTTAGACTTATAACAATATAACTCAAACAAATCATCTTGATTGTTATACAGTGGCTACAGTATTGGTCATTTAGGCCTCCTCCATGTTAATGCATGGGACATGGACCAGACTAGAAGTCAAGGATTATTTGTCACAACATCCTAAGGTGATGCGATGAACGTGCTAGAGCCTAAACTTAGTCTTTAAACACTAGTTGGAAGAAAAATGGCCGACTCTGACACTGACCAACTCCTCACAGCCTCTTAGTGATATATCGTCAGTTCAGTAACACAAATCTAATCAGTCGATTTACTCATACACACAAAATTTGATGTCAAACATCACGATTGACAGCCGACTAGCGATCGGCCGAGCAGGACCTCGACACCGGGGGCTCCGCTAAACAATGGCTACCGTGCAGCAGCTGTTCTCGGAGCGAGAGGAGACGAGTCTTTATTTACAGAAGAAGAAACACGGTCTCTTACCTCACAGCAGAGGTGGCGAACACTTGGCCTTTGGATCCAACTGACAGCACGACCACCGAAGCAACAACCACGATCAGATCTGAACGGACGGAGAAACCAACGTCTTTTAAGTGGAAATACTTATAAGCACGCAGAAGTTCAACGGAGACGAGAGTGCAGTGGTACGTTTATCATTTCTTCTTTTAGAAATCAGTTGAAGTGTGAACTTTTACAAAAACATTCATATTCATTTCTGCATGTTCAAATACACTGAAGCTTCTAAATCAAAATAAATGAAAGACTGAAGGTGGAAAAAATGATCAGTGACAGTTTTAATTTCACGCTGAATTTGTGTGAGATCTCTCATTTTGGGACGCAGCTCAGGATATATTACATCTATTGTTTAAATGTCGTGCGTGGGTGGGGGAGTGACGATCGGTGTGTTTGTGTGCGTGTCTTATGGAAATGTGTTTACAGGAGGGGTGGGGGGGGGTGTACCCACCTATTATAGATATCGGCTTCCTGGCAAAGCGTAGTCGGCCCCAGATGCCGACGTACTTACTGCGGCAGCCTGCTGACCAGAGGCGGACGAAGTACTCCACACCGAAGAACACCACAAGGACGATCTCCTGGCAGCGAGACAGGGACACACACACACACACACACACACAAAAAAGAACAGACAAATGTAGGAGACGGACAGGTGGGCACGATAAAAAAAAAAAAAACATCAGATGTTGTCACAGGTATTTCAGAGCAACAACACCTGAACAGCTGCGTCGTCCTCAGCAAAGCGAGCATTAAAAAAAGATATTGGGGATTATTATAGATGCAGCTGTTGTGCAGCTCCTCACGCAGACCTCGTAACATCACTGTTATTCATTAAGGATTATCGATCCTGCTTCCACACATCCAGCGTTTCTCACTGTGTCATTTGGTCCACATCATTGACTCATTCTGCAGTTCTGCTGCTAAAACGCACTGAATGGAGTTGAAAGATGGAAAAAGTGATTACGTACTCTCACCAATATTAAACCCCCCCCCTTCTTACAAGGAACCTCCCACTTCTCGTGGATTTGGACGCCTCTGTGGACAAAGGAAGTCGAGTTTCCAGCGTCTCCTGTCGTAACAAACCTTGCTCTGGTCTGCATTTGAGTGAAAAGCTATTTGCAGGTTGCATGGCGAACTGTAAAATTACATTATGATTTTGTTTAAGCAGCATAAATCAAGATCGAATCACTATTACACATGTTTGGTCACAATTATATTTTGTGCAAAATGAGTTTGTTGTTTTAAAAGACAGCACTGGTTAACGTGGTTTAATCCGTACAAAGATGTGATTATAAAAGTTGTATTTGTTATTTTTATTTATTTTATCTCTCTTACTGAGCCGCACTGACTCTCTCTATTCTTAGTGCTGAGATAAACAGCTGCTGGTAAAGCTTCATATTTACATACACATCTGGATTGTCCCCTAGTTTTCTTCTGGCTGTTATTCTCCTAATTATTTTTAAACCACATGACAATTACTGAAACGAGCCACACAGCATGTGTCCGATGCTAAACATGGAGCTCAGAGCTTCTCCATTAATGCTTCATTATTTCAATTCCATGCAAGTTTCCTCCACTTCTCCTCGAGGGCAAATTGCTTTTAAAAAATGAAGTACGGCACAAAATTACATTTAATGATCCGGTGTGAATGAGACTGCGATTACCCCCCCACGTGTCTCTCAATAATTGACAAGCATTTGCAAATGAAGCCGTCTGAGAGTAAATCAATAGCCTTTCGTAGATTTCTAATGGTGACACAATCCTCCTGCAGAGGATGACGGGAGAAAGAGAGTGGCAGAGAGAAGGAGGATGTGATCTGTGTATTGGAGCAGGAGATGTGATCAGCTGGGAATAGTCTGAGGAGCTTTACTTCATTAGAGCCAAAGACTGACACATCAGTTAACCGCACGTCTCATCAAACGTCAAAGTTAATTCAGAGTTTGTTAAATTGTGCTCTTGGAAGCTAATGTTTAAAATGTTTGTATTTCTTGATTTATTCACCGAGGATTTCTGCCTCAAGGTTGAAAAGGGAAACTAGAGGAGAATCTAAATGGTTGTTTTCATGCCTGTGCACAGGTGACGCCACAGTCAGAGAGATCGTCCGTCTCCTGTAAACGCAGGAGAGGCTCGGGTTAATTGTCTCAAACTGACAGGATGAGCTGATTAGATTTATCTTCGGAGGTCAAAGGTCACTGTGTTGCTGTTAAATGCATTTTATTCGGAGTTGCAAAACATCAGCAACACCTTGAGGGATTTCTTCAGATTTGGCACAAAGGTCCAGCTGGACTTTCGTGGTCAAGGGTCAAAGGTCACTGTGATCTCATAAATAACTAATTATCACAAATCTGCTGACAACATCTGATAATAATGTAGATTTGTTTCCACGGTCAACATCATGAGCCAGCATGGAAGAGAAAATCCCAGAAGTGCTCACACTAATGCAGAGTTTGAGCGGCTACCACCCGACGACTGTGCTCGTTACATCTGCAGATCATGTGATCAGGGTCCTCGTGGGTCCACTCGGTTCTGAGAAGAATGGGACGGGGTCCAAAACTACACTCGGTCTAATTGGGTCCTGCAGGGCCTCATTTAACTTGTCTGTACCTGAAGACAACTAAAAAAAAAAAAAAACACATTGGCTCATTTTAAACATGTCTTCTATTAATAAAAAAAACAATCCATTTCTAGAGTGTGATTCACAGATGGTAGGTTGAGATTGTTTTCTTCTGTCCATCTGTTGCCCTTTTGGCAAGAGACGGTTTTAGTTTGTGCAAGAGGTTAAAATGGACTTTTAATTATTTCACTATTAATTAAAAAACAATGCTGCGGCTGCACATCATGATGCCGGTGGTATTCTCTCTCTTTATGAGGAATTTGCAGGATAGCAGATCAGCGAACGTGTTCCTTCAAACAGTTTGATCAAATTTAATTACACTAGAGAGTCGGAGGCTACATTTTGCTTTGAGCCTTTGATGCAGGTGAAGTTCAAGTCTTCCGTTGCTCGAACACTTTGACCTTGATCACGTGAGGAGAGTTTAAAGCTCTGGAACAAATGGATGTTCGAGGCGTCTTGTGAACAGTTGGCAAGAATAGACAGATCCAGAACAGATTATAAAAATCATCCATCCATTATCAGAGGTTAAATTATAAGTCAACCAACTACCTCTCCGAGTTTTCACCCCCCACCTTTTCTCTCTCGTCGTAGGAACCACGGGGGGGGGGGGGGGCAGTAAAACCAGGATCCATCGCCTTATCCCTTCCCCCACACAGATTCTCCTGGGTTCCTTTCCACAGCATCGTTCCACTAGAACCCATCATCGATCCCAGTTCGACATTACATTCATCCCCTCACACCACCCGATCACGAACCCCGTCATCCCTCCGTCTTCAACCCCTCGTTCATCCTCCCTTGCCAATAATGTAACTTGCATCTGTGAGTGACTCACCGATCTGTGAGGCCACGAAATAAAACATGTCAGGAAATGTAGCAATAATCTTTTTTCTTTTTTTAATACGTATAAATGAAAAAACTTAATAGTTCAAATTCAATTTTACTCATGGGCAAACAAATGACTGTGAGAAGGTGAATCCCTTGAACCAACTTCCAGACATCTGGCCAAACACAAAGCTGCAAACACTGCCCGCCGCTGCTGCATCTCCACGTAACAGAGTGAGAACCGAGTTACCCTTGAGTGTGCAGGAGAGAGAAAGAAAGAAAGGAGGAAAGGAAGGAAGACGCTTCTGTGGTCGGAGATGTGAGAGAATGAAAGGGTGTCAGGGTCAGAGCAAATCTCTTAACCAGAAAGTACAAAAACGACCCCTTTGGGATGGAGGATTGAAAAGATGAATGTTTGAGATTCTGGTTGGTTTAGTAGCTTGGTAAATATTAATTATGCATTATCTGTGCAGAAGAATAAGAAGATTAAAAAATATCTCCAGAGGGTGAACTGAGGGCAGGAAAAAAAACAAAAAATTTCACCATAAAATACATCTCGTTATATTGTGATGTTGGGGACAAAATACAAACTCTCGCATTTAATTGCGGGTCTAACTTAAACACTTAAGAGTCTGACGTGCCGGCTCGAGAACCGCCACGACCGTTTCATCCCTTTATCCGCAGGCCAAGGTGAACTTGTCACACGTGGCGCGCTCCAGTCCTCCACCATGACAAATCCTCACGTCCCTCTCCATCCTGTCTTTGGCTTTTCTCTCGTCTGAGCTTCAATGACTCACCCATCACCCAAACAGGCGTCTCAGGGTTAAGTTTTACTATCGATTTTACAGGCGATGCCTTTGCCCTCTTTGGGCCAGCGGGACGCCCTGAAATTGTTTATAGAAAAGAAAAAGCTGATGCGTCCCTAAATTGTTTTTGGGAGGCAGTAGTTAGGTCAATCAATCCATGAAATTGCTTTTGAAACGAGAAAACTGAGATTTGATATTTGTTTCTATAGCAACGTCTTGGTCTAGATTTTTGCAGCAACACCTTTCGAAAAAATATGAGGATGTGATGAAAATTTACTGCGGATCTGTGTTAACTTGCAGATTAAACATGTGTCTTATTAAAACAAGTTTGTCAACGTCGAGTAAGACGACCCCGTATGTTAACTGCATGGTTGTTTAAGCATCATTATCATTTCTATATCATCAAAACGATCTATTTGACAGGAAATGGGAACAAAGCTCCTCCTTAACTTCTTAAAGGAGACACGTCATTCTCAGTCCCCGCTCTATAATTTTATTCCACTTGAGTTGCTTTGTGTGATTCACAGTTCAAAGAAAAATGCTTATTTATCCCAAACTGCCTGTTATGCAACGCCTCCGACTGAAATAGGCATCATCAGCTCCGGGCTCTTTAAGACCCCCCCCCCCCACCACTCTCTTCTTCAGGAAGCCTCCAGAGCTGCAGCGCTGAGTGCCTGCGAGCGCCGCTTCTTACCGGTGTGGCCTAACTTCTGAGTAATGCTACATAATTCATCGGAAAAGGAAACTTATCAAACTCAGAACAAATCTAAAATATGAGCATGGGCAGGACAAACATCTGGACCAACGATTACAGCCATTAACACAAGTTATATATATATATAAATATATATAATCTATGAGTGTGTATACCACAGGTGTTGGAGCAGTTTGTTTCTTCTACTGTGTTTAAACTCCTTGTATTTGTGGCCACGTTCACTTTCCTCCTCAGGTACACTCAAAGCAGATGATGGAGGTTCACTCTCAGAGGCTAAATCGAGCCGCAGGTAGTTTTTGGAGAACATTGAATTGAGGATTCTTAGTAAAGATTGACTGAAAACTGGAAATGAGACAGAGTCCGATGTGCAAACTCTGCTGGATTTGAAGATAAAGATGCATCCAGCTGTGAGCGAACAGCAGACACCTGTAGATAACTAAGTGAACTTATTGAGCTGATAAATCACCAGCGTTTCTTATTTTGTCGGGTTTGTACCAATGTAGAAGACAAAGCCTCCCTCTGATCTGATCAGTGCTTTTAAAACACTTGACAATAATCTTATTTGTATTGTTTAAATCCAGGTGCAACGTTTTTTTTTTAAATGAATCGAATTCAACACTCACCACCCAGAAGAGTGTTGTGTGAGCCAGAGCCTGGTACTGGTCGATGGTGGAGAGGACACTCAGGATCAGACAAGCCAGAACTATGAGAAACCTGGAGAGGAAAGAAAAAAAGATTCAAACATTAGTCTTCTTTAAAATAGTGTTAAAGGTTTATGTTGCTGTTGGTCTGATTGTCATAACGTCTGCAGGTTTACACAAGAACTGCTTCCCCAGTTTTATTAGAACATGCATGATGCATGTGACATTAGGAAGAACCCATTCACTGTTGGAGCTGATTCGTTTAAGGGGGCAGATCCAGGAGGGTTGTTGTGAATAGCTCATGAAATCATGTAGACAAGTATGTATATTTGTCATGTATATTTAGAGCACTGATTTTCATCAGTCTGTGAAATTTGGTGAGGCTTGATTGAATTTAAGGGGAATGTTGAGCTTCGGCATAAAAGTTTGTCTGTTTTTATTTATCTTTTACTTTCTTTAACGCTGCAACATAGAAAGTTTTCAGGTAAAAAAGTTACTGTGATAAATGAAGGAAGTACAGAGAGTCACGTGCAGAAATCAGGCAAAGTTCAAATAAAACAAAATCACAAAAAAAGCTAAAAGTTCAAGAAAACAGAACAAGGCAGCAAAACTTACAGGACACAAGTAGAAATCAAGGAGGGCTACATGAGGAACGACTGTCGGACAGGAAGTAGTGCGACAACCTGCAGGACAGCGGTGTAGGAGCAGGTGTGATTTATACTGAGGGAGCGATTGGTGAGGAGGTGCAGGTGTGGTGAGCAGTTTCAGGAACAAAGGGAGGAAGTGAAGCTGGAGCTCATGAGCACAGACAGAGACAAAATAAAACAGGAAGAGAGGCCGGGTCGTCACATCTTACAAAAAATCAGACGTATTTATTTTGCTGAAATTTATGATCTGAGACTATAAATCATTTATCGGACCACTTGTTTTTTTTTTTATTCTTGAGAGTAAGAACTAGACAATCACATGTACAGTTGTTTGGTTTTGGCAGAGGTCGCCCATGTGCTCTTCTGAGTTTCTTTCTTAAGCCGCTTCCAGACATGCAGAACACAGCAGGAGGTCCTCCGGAAGGATTCACAGAGAGCGAGTGGGAGGGGCGATGATGCTTTTTAACACGCAACAAAAATCCAAACATATATATTTCAGGATGAAAATGCGGTGCCACACACGTAGAAGACAAAGATGTCGAGAGAGCGGGCGCCGGTGTCGATGTGTTGTAAACAAAAACATTTTACATCCCGCCTCCGTCTGCTGCTCCACCCCTCACCTGAACGCTCCGGGATCCCCTGCCGCTTTGATAATGGATGAAAGGCAAACTCCACTTTGGACATCTTCCGGAGTTCAGAGTGTGAAAACGGCTTTATTTTATGAATTAACTCCAACTGACTCCTGGTTATGAACAAACTGATAAAACCACACCTATTCAACAGTCAGGTCATAAAGAACACAAATCTCCTCGGTCCACTTTTTAAGCTGATGTTTATGTCAACACATCAGACTTTGATTCAAACAGAAAAAAACTTCTGAACCACTTTTCAAAAATAAAAAACCACAACATGAGATTACTTGATATTTTTATCATGGAAAAGTATTCGAGTGAATTCAAGCAAACGTTCAAGGATGGTCCTCCAGAGGAAACACTGCGAACCTTTAGAACTCCAGCATATGAATGTAGAGCACCTGATAAATTCAACAAATGATAATCTAAAAGGTTTGCACACACACACACACACACACACACACACACACACACACACACACGATCCACAAACACTAAACTTCTCTTTAACATTCTCTTTATTCCCCCTCAAGGTCACATGTGTTTCAACCGCATCTGTATCTCCTCAACATAACTAAAAGAAATACATTTGATTTATTCCAGAGGAGGCTTCGAGCTGCATTGACATTAACTTGTTTTACGTGAACTTTAGAAATTCCACTTCCATCAGAATTTACATATTTGAAGAATCTTTGCATGACTGTATTTTGGAAAAAGAGCATCTTGTGAATTTAGTGTAACAGCAAATACATTTGAGTGACTTCCCATAAAAGTTAGGGTGAGATTTCCTGTTTGATTTGACGGTGGTGGATGAAAACAGGAGAGCAGTGCTGACGGCGGTCACTCATTCTCAAACTCATAACCTTGTGCTTGTGTGCTTCAGCCTGCCCTCGTTTTTACTTCTGTTAACGCACCATCGTCGCCGCTATTAGACCCATACTGTGTGCTTTAGCAGTCTGTCGGTTAGCAGACTCAAAAAATGAAGAATGAGATGATGTGATGATGAAAACTCTGCAGACAAGTTGGGTCAAAGACAAACTTTTAATTCACGGCGGCGAGAGACGTGGCGATGAAGGACGGAAGTTCTGAATGAATTCACAAACGGCCTCCTCTTATTTCACGACCTTAGCACAGTGAGCATTTCTAATGCTTTATCATTATTGCATGAATCTGCCTTATACGTTCACAGACATGCTCGTAGACCTGAGAAGGGTTGTTCGTTTTAAAGATCTACAAATACAAATAAACCTATTCAACTTTGTTTGCTTCCTCTTTATAAAAGAAAAAGCTCAATGAAATATGAGTCAGAACAATATAGAGGAAAAAAATGGATTTTTAAATGTGTTTCCTGCTTGTTTCTGTAAATGGGGCACAGTATTGTTTTGGAATTCAAAGAGATGCAGTTGGACGAGGCAGCCAGACTCCAACCAGCTTCCAGGTTCAAATTAGGGACACGACAATTACGCATTCTTGAAACCTGTGACCTCGAGGACGCAGCCACGCGAGCGGCTCAGTGAGGCTCATGTGGGCACAGTGGAGCTGTAAACGCTGACATCTGTACTAACATGCTGATGTGTTGATGTTTGCCATGTTCACAGTCTCAGTTAACAGGTTGTTGGCATGTGGACATTTTCTAATTAGCACTAAACAAAGTATCGCAGAGGGTAAAATCACAATTGCGAGAATATCTAGAACCACAGACCAAAAAAAAATGGACGACGTGAAGCCCCCGATGTCTGGCTGCAGTTTAGGTCTTACTCCCTGCCTCCTCCATGTTAAGGGATGGGACATGTCCCACGATAAAAAGTTAAAGTACATGTAAACAAAAAGGTAATTGTTATCACACTGATGTATGTTCAGGTGCTCAAGTTTCTGATCAGTCTGGTTTTTATATTCGATGCTATAATATCACAAATGTCACGATTGACAGCTGAGATCGATTAGTGATTGGTCCAGGTTGCAGATGCCAAATGATGTCACCAGCACAAGATGGCCCCTCCCATATCCAGGATAATTTGGCTTCACATGACCTTGATCTACTTATACAGTCATTGATCTGAACCAAACTTCATGGCGATCCCGGAGCTATCATCAGGGGATCCAGGTGGAAGTACGACATTGACGAAGCCAAGTATGGAACTGACATATCTTGACACGTGTTGGTGGAAGCATTCGCTCTACAAACGTCTCGTTGATATCGTTTTAAACGCAACTAAACAACCGCTGTCTCGTGCCCATATGAGCAGACTTGATGGAAACTATGTGCACAGGGAGTTATAGTTTCCAGTCTGTGTTTGCACCACGGACGCCCTTATCACCACACGCTACAGCTACAGTTTATTGAAGACTAGCCAAGAATCCAAATACCCCTTTTTAAACTAACACACACATACACAGGCGGACTTGAATGTGCACGACACACGTCAACACAGATAAAAGAGCGAGGAGAGACCCTCTCAGAGAAGACGGGCTGGTGTGCAGCGAGGCTAACAAAGCAGCTGGTCCTGTCTGAAAGAACAGAACAAGTCGACAACACAGCGCTGCCTAATGACTCTGTAGTTTTGTTCCTCTGCAAAACGACATCAAAACGAAGGCAGCCTGCCTCCCCGTGTCAGCGAGCACACATCCGTCTGTTGAGCGGAGCAGAGCCGACCACCAGTGAGGACACAGAGTGCCTCCTAAAATCTGGAGTTCAAATGTGACAGAGGCAGTTTGAGAGAGGATCAAAAGAAACGCAAACAAACATCAAACTTTCCACGCGCCGTGCTAATGGTTGTAATTTGTCAGTGATGCTCTGCTTAAATTATTTCAGAGCATTTGAGATGCCAATAAACATACACTCAGTATGCTGAGCGTACGCTTCTGCTTCACGTTGAATCCATCCGAGACTATCTGGCTTGTCAGTGGCTCCCTGCAAACCGCACCGTCGTAATTCACTCGCTTTACTTTCCAGGCCTATAGATAATACAGGCCCTGTGTCACTGTCTGGCACCAGTGGGCTCGGTGTAGCAACAGACAAAATAATACATTGGCTCGGCTACATAGGCACCACTGAACTCTAAACAAAAGCTCAAAGCATCGCTCCTATCTATTATTGATGGACACATTCACTTGCAGTCTGCTGTGCAGCGAGTGTAAAGACAAAGCCGAGCACGGGATGAGAGTCGGTAGTGACGTGTCACTGGCGGTTACCATCAAATGTCCTGTTTGGAACAACAATCATCCTTTATTTTGATCACAGGCATAATGTGCTGTCAAGTGATGAAAGACAGAAGAACGCAGGAAGATGAATTCAGTAATGAAAGATAAAACTAAATGGTGTAATCACAGTGACGGTTTAAAGCTCCAGTGTGTAAGATTTAGGTGAAAGGGAACTACTGGCAGAAATTTAATGTAGAATAATCCTCATGATGTTTTCACTAGTTTGTTTCATCTAAATTGTATGAACTGTAGTTTTCTTTACCCCAGAAAATTCCCTTTATATTTAAATACTTTATATTTACATGGAGAGGACCCTCTCTACGGAGGCCGCCATGTTTTTCACATTAGTCCAGACTGAACAAACTAAACACCTTTTGAGTTTTTATGACAACTGAAGTTCACCACAGTTTCTTTTTCATGTTTGGAAGGAGAGGGTGAGGTGAGGGCTGTTCAGCTGCAACATGAGACTTCAACACTATATATCATTAAATTCTACACACTGTACCTTTAAGGCTGGAGCCCCACTTTTGTTTGCTATTTAGACAGTCGATACGAGCCTCGGTCACGGCCCGAGCCAAAAGTGTGGCGTGTGT